AGGGGCGCTGCCCCCTGGACCCCCCCCGACTTGACCGGGCAGCTCAACCCCTGACATACTCAGCGAAGTGGCAAAACTGGGATCGCTACACTATTTTGTAGCAGGAATTTCATTATACTATCAGGTTCCTCAACATTTATGCACCTAATGAGGTTCTGAAAAGGGGACAGTTTTGGGAAGCTTTGGTCACTGTTTATCATCATTATCCAAACCCTTGGTTTATGAGTGGGGATTTCAATGAAATTAGGCTCATGTGTGAGAGGAAATGATGCTCAAGAAGAGACAAGGGTATGAAGGACTTTAACAAGTTTATTGATAAGTTGGAGTTGTCTAATTTGCCTATGCTAGGTAGGCAGTGTACCTGGTGTAATGCAGTGGATGGGGACAGATGGAGTAAGATAGATAGATTTTTGTTGGATTCAAGGTGGCTGGCAAAATTTTCTTTCAAGCTATGGGGTTTACCTAGAACTATATCAGATCATTGCCTAATTTTGTTGAAAGAAGATGATAGGGATTGGGGACCTAAACCTTTTAAGTTCTTAAATCCTTGACTTTCACATCCTACCTTCATACTTGAAGTTAAACATATTTGGGAAAATACACAAGTGTCAGGATGGGCAGGGTATAGACTATGGAGAAAATTAAAAGTCTTAAGAACTCATCTAAGCGTGTGGAACAATGAGGTGTTTGGTAATATTGATTCTCTCCTAAAGTCAGCTGAAAAGGACATGCATAAGTGGGATTTGAAGGCAGAAACTAGGCCTTTAGCTAATGAGCTTAAAAGAGAAGGGAAGTTACAAGTCTGGTGTGGAAAATAAGTAGAGATAAGGAGAGGTTGTGGCATCAAAAGTCTAGAATACTATGGGCTTGTAATGGTGATAAAAACACTAGATTCTTCCATATCATGGCTAGTAGGAGGCAGAGAAAAAATATGTTAGATTTAGTCCTTGTGGAGGGGGTGAGCCTTGAAGATCCTAATCAGGTTAAACAAACTGTGGTTAGTCATTTTAGGCAGCAGTTCTCAGAGAATTGGACTGTTAGGCCTATGATCTCAGGTCCTTTTGCTGACATTAGCTCGGAGGCAACAGTGAATCTAAAAGTAATGTTTATTGAAGATGAGATTTGGTCAGCTCTTCAAGATTGTGATAGGAACATAGCCCCAGGACTAGATGGTTTTAATCTTGCCTGTATCTGGAAGTGTTAGCCAGTAATGAAAGGTGAGATAATTCAAATGCTTCAAGAATTCTATGCAAATGCGAAACTATCCAGTGGGGTAAATAGCTTTTTCATTGTGCTTGTACCCAATAAGGATAATCCTTTAGGCTTGGGTGATTATAGGCCAATTAGCTTGGTTAGCTCCATCTATAAGATCTTGGCCAAGGTATTATCCAGAAGATTGAAGCAGGTGCTTCCAGAAGTGATCAGTGAGGTGCAATCAACATTTGTCAGTGGTAGGCACATCCTAGATGGTGTGTTGATAGCCAATGAAGTTGTACATGGGTGGCACAGTGCTAAGAAGAAAGGTATAATCTTGAAATTGGATTTTGAGAAAGCCTATGATTCATTAAATTAGGAGTTTTTGCTATCAATGTTGGATAAGTTTAGTTTTGGGGCAAGATGGGTAAGGTGGATAAAGTCTTGTATTACTATAGCTAAGGTGTCTATTTTGGTCAATGGTGCTCCCACTAAAGAGTTTCAACCACAAAAGGGGTTGAGGCAGGGGGACCCTTTATCTTCTTTATTGTTTATTGTAGCAGCTGAAGGTCTTAATCTGTTATTGAAGAGGGCCATAGAGAAGGATCTGATTACAGGTGCCACTGTTGGCTCAGATCTCTTGGGAATTTTACATCTTCAATTTGTAGATGACACTATCATTTTTTGTGAAGGTGCTAAGGAGGAAGTTCTGAACATAAAGAGAGCATTGAGGTGCTTTGAGGTGATGTCTAGATTAAAGATCAACTTCCACAAAAGCTTTGTCTGTGGGATAGGGTATAATGAAGACCAAACTACGGACTTGGCTAAGGTTTTGAATTGTCTGTCAAAGAAGTTGCCATTTAATTTTTTAGGCTTGCCTTTAGGGGCCGATCCCAGAAGGAAGAGTACATGGCTCCCAGTTGTGGTCAAGGTCAGAAAAAGCTCTCTTCTTGGAAGAGAAAAGTTGTTGTCTTTTGCTGGAAGATTGACACTTATCAAATCAGCCTTGGCCAATTTACCAATCTATTTTCTTTATATTTTTAAAATGCCAAAGGGGGTTATTAAGATTATAACTAAGCTTCAGTCCAACTTTCTGTGGGGAGGGAGTGAAATTAACAGGAAAATAAATCTAGTCAAATGGAAGGAGGTACTAATAATAAGAGTCAAGGAGGTTTGGGTGCGAGGAACTTAGGTCAAGTTAATGCATGTTTGTTACTAAAGTGGTGGTGGAGGTTTTGCAGTGAGGATAAGGCTCTATGGAAATCAATGGTGTGTTCTAAGTATGGTAGAATTGGTGGGGCTTAGATTCCTTCAGTGAATTAGTTAGCAAGGGCTTCCATGGTTTGGAAGGATATTACACAGATAACTGAGAATAATCAGTAACTGGGCGAATTTTTTGGAGGTCAGATTAAAATCACTGTTGGCAATGGGAGGAGAATTCGGTTCTGGCATGATTCTTGGTTAAGTACTAGAGGCTTGAAAACTGAATTTCGTACAGAGAATGAGGAGACTCTGCACAAAATCAGTATGAAGAAAAGTCTATCAAGGGGGTGGCAGCTCCAATTTAGAAAGAATCTATTAGCTTGGGAAGAGGAGGAGTTGCAGAGGCTGATTGGAATGCTGGTGTTATTCCCAATCCTTAGAGTTGGTATTGAGTACTCTTGTTCTTGGGCAGTAGAGAGGTCAGGGCAGTTCACAGTCTCTTCTGTGAGGAGGCGGTGGGATCCAGCTATAGGGCCAGGTATGGCAGTACCACCAGGGGTGTGGATGAACTTAGCTCCTCCAAAAATACAGTTTTTTTGTTAGTTGGTTTGGCATGGTAGGGTCAAAACCTCAACCTTCCTCCAAAGGATTGGGGTCCTTGATGTGAGTGTTAATAACTTGTGTGTGTTCTGTCAAATTGTGGAGGAGTTTGTTGATCATGTGCTCCTACACTGTCCTCTGGTTTGGAAGTGTTGGTCCCACAAGGTATTTTGGTGGGGTCAAGTCTAGGCTATACAAGGTTTAGTTGCAGGCTTGCTGCATTGGTGGTTTGGTGGTAAGTTCAAGTCACGGATTGGTAAAGTCTGGCAGATTATCCCCTCTGTTGTTTTTTGGTCTATCTGGAAGTTGCGGAATGAATGTTTGTTTAAGGGTGCTCATCCTGATATTCAAGTTCTATGCGAAAAGATTAAAGTGCAGATTGCTTTGTGGTCCAAATGGCATTTGAAAGTGGATTATTCAGTTTATGACATTGTATCCAATCTCCACCAGATCAGGTTAACTTTCTGATATTTCTGTTGTGCAGAGGTGGTATGGTTGTGTGTTTCTTTTGCTTTGGTCTTTTCCCTGGTTGGTTTTTTGCCAACTGTTGGGGTGGTTGCTAGCTTCAGTTCGGGTCCTTTCTTGATGTCCACTGTGTGGGAATCAAGTTGCTAGCTCTATGCTGTAGTTAGCTCTGTCCTCTCCCCTTTATTGATGTATCCACATACTTTGTATGTTACATTTCATCAATAAAATTTTCTTTTAAAAAAAAAAAAAAAAAAAAAAAAAGTGTGTGATTTATTAATTATTTTTTTTAAATTGAAAAATCAAGAAATTTGGATTAAGCCCTTAGAGCTCTTTTAGCTCTTCTCACTAAAATCCCCTTTTCGTTATATAATATATAGATAGATAGATAGATAGATATAGATAAGTTTTTAGAAAATAATTAATTTAATTATTTTAATTACTTGCTCTCTAATAACTTAAGCATTTAGCTTTGGTACCCGAAGTTGCCAAAAAATTAAGTTCTCTCACCATGGTCTATCCAATGATTATTTCTTATCGTATTTTTGTTTATAATAGTTGCTAGATTGAATTTTCCTTTCATAGTTAAAACATTGTATAATTAGTGTATTTGTATTCTTCTTTGAAAAATAATAAAATATCCTTCCTTATATTATTATTCTTCAATCCTTTGTCTCATTTTTCATTCATTGTTCATTCCAAAAAAGTCCTTGAATATTCAAGGCATTAGAAACACACACAATCGTCTGATTATTGATTGATTGGTAAAAAATAACAAGGCAAAGTCCCTATCAATCTAGGCTTGGCGTTATTTTTGCTAACACTGGCTCATAATTTAGAAAAATAAAACTTTGTATGTGAAATGTGACTTAGCTTACTAATAAGTTGAGTGCTGTATCAAATTGTAAATTTTGTCTGCTTTATATAGCACTACTCATTTTGATGGGAAAATTCAAAATAGAGTTTGACAGGAAGATATGTGAAATATTATAAGGGCCTCTAGTTGAGAAGGTTGGGTGGATATGGATTATGTTTCACCGAAATTTTATAACGAACATTGTTGAAACCCTAGAAAGAAAAAAAAAAAAAGAACAGTACAACAATGTTTTGTTTCCCTAAGAATACTGTCAGCCTATTTGATTTGCCTTCAGTAATCTATAATAATCATTTAAACACATGAGCTAATAACTCACTTGTGTCGTGATCCTTAAAATATAAATCATGTACAATGGCTATTTTTGTGTCAAATTCAATATTAATTGTGATGACAATATCAACATTCATACCTGCAAGAAGTATATTTCTCAAACGGAGTTGGATCTTTAGACTATCTCCATGATTTTAATTAAATGTAAACAAGTCACAGTCAAGAATCACAAACAGTTAAAAAACAACTCGCACATGATAAGAAGTCTTACATAGCATAAAAGTCTCTAACTCATAAGTTGGTGTCCATGCACAAGATGATATTAACAGATTAAAAGGACAAGGATACTACTAACTTCCTTGTATTATTGGGATAAAAGCCTCTTGCATATTTACACAGAGAAATTCTTCACTGTGGATATGGCGCTAACTTCGGCTTCAACAATTAAAGTATCATTCACGAGGAAGCCCTTAGAAGCATCATGGAGGTCAGTTAACGACAACAACGAAGATGTACCCCAAGAGATGGAGCTTGAAGTAAAACAATCGAAACCTGCAAGAGAATTGGACAATTGTTATTTAACTACCCAAAAGATCTACATACACTACAAGAAATTGCACCTCAGGCGACCATTTTTGGCAACTAAACAATTTTTAGTCGCCGAAAGTACATTTTTTGGCGACTAAAATTTAATTTTGTTGGCGTTGGTTCAAGATATCGCTACTAAAATATTTTAGTCAATAAATATTACTTATTGGCGACAAAATTTAAATTTAGTCTATAAAAACTCCACTTTTAGCGACTAAAAAGGAGATTGGTCGTTGTTAGTCCACATTTTAGGCCCCCCAAAAATAAATTAATCAGCAATATTGGTTTTTCCCAACTAAAATTAAAATTAGTAGCCAAGTAGGACTTTTGGCAACTAATATTTTTGTCGCTGTTCAGTCACCGTTTGGCTACAAAAAAATTTAGTCGGCATATATATTCCTTTGCTGACAAATAGAGAAATTAGTCGCTAAAGGTTCAGTTTTCAACCGGCTAATTCCTTTATTTTTTGCGCGCGCCGCTCTCTCCATTATACAACGCAACTTCACACTTTGTAACACACACACACTGTCCTTCACCAAGCCTCACAAAAAGCATCCCCTTCATCGTAGCCTACCATACGGTTGACATTATGACGACCACCACCTCCACACAAATCACCACTATCATAGCCGCACATCGCAGGTTCTCTCTCTCTCTCTCTCTCTCTCTCTCTCTCTCTCTCTCTCTCACACACACACACACACACACACACTCTTGCTTTCGCTCACGGTTTATCCGTGCATCTCTCTCTCTGTGTCTCTTGAGCTCTCTCACACAGTCTGTCTCTCCCTCTGTGTAGTGACCCTCATCCTCGTCTTAGTCATGTTCATATGCATCTGCATGTTTTGTTTTTGTTAAGCTTGCATTTGTGGTTCTGATTTGTTTTGCCTAAAGTATGGTTTCCGTCTTGTTTTGTACCTACGTGTTTTGGCTTGAGTATTGTTTGTATGTTTTGTCCTTTGCTTGGTGTGTGTAGCCGAGGTCACCTAAAGCCTAGGTCACACCTTTGGACCTTTTACACCTAGGACCATCTTGGAACCACTTTGGTTGACCTCCACCTTTACCCTGGCATATTGGTCGAGATGTCATCATCTAGGCCGAGGTGTGCATCACCGAGGCCGAGATATGTATCATCTAAGCCGAGATGTTATCCCTTAGATATTTTAGATCTTTGATCCCTGCACTTGGTGATCTTGTTCCTGGACCGGTATGACCTAGGCCGAGGTGTGGCACAGCTAGGCCAGGTGTCAACCTTCCTAGCCGAGATCATTGAGACCTTACTTGTCGAAGCCTTGTCCTAATCCGAGGTCCTTACCTGCCGGAGTGCCCATGTCACCTTACTTGTTGAACACCCTTTGTCATGCTCTTGTCTTGTCATTCAGTCACCTTTTGAGGAAACCCAATCCGGTAGTGCCACGTGTCCCAGTAGAGGGTTAAGTCAGCCAGCAGTGGGAGAAAACATATCATTGTGTGTCATATTTTGCATGGTTGAGAGAGAAGCTCTAGGGAGAGGAAGAAGGAGTTCTTAGAGTGAGAGTAGAATTCCAAGCTTGATCTTCACACCTTGAACCGTTAGATCCGAGTTTTGAGGTTAGAATCTTGATTTGCTCTTGTTGTTCTTTATGTTCATCTAACTAAATTGCACGATCTAGCATGATTTAGGAGCCATGCATTGATTTAAAGTTTGGTTTTAGAAAGAGAAAATGATGTTCATGTGTTCTTGAAGAAAAACCATGTTTTGATCCGAAAGTTTGTGTCAAGTTCCATATTTTTGTGTTTGTTTTCATGAAATCTCCAAGTATGGGTACCCAGGTCCATGTTTTCGAACTCATCTCATGAAATCTTAGATTTTGAATAAAGAAGCTATGATTTTAGCATTCATGTTCTCCATGTTTATATTCTTCATGTTCTTCAAAGGAAACCCAGATTTTTCCCAGACTTCATTTCCCTGAATGTGGTCGTCGGGACCATACCTCGGCCAAGAGGTGTGGGACCTCAGCCAAGACCTGGTTTGTACCCAGCATGTTTCCCGAGATGAAAAACAGTGTTCGACTCCCAGCACATGATGGTTTTGTTTTGACTTGGTTTTAGAAAGAAATGCCGGGATCATTTATACTCATGTAAAGCTTGTTTTGAGAAATGCATTTCATAACCATCTGTGAGCATTCCTACTTGTCTTCTTGAAATGCATTCAGTAGACTTAGGTCTTGGATTCTTGCCTTAATCCCTACACCCGAAGAGCTATGTGAGTGGTATTTTTAATAAAACTATGTTATAAAGTTTTGATAAAGCTTTGCTTTGTTTTGGAAAAGTATTTGATCAAGTATGAATGATTATTCCTAGTTGTAACAAGTATTATAATTGTTTTGATGACATTCTTAGAAAGTCCTTAGTGCCAGGGGACTATAATGCAACTAGTACCCTTGTTTTGAAAGTCTTTAGTGCTAGGGGACTATAATGCAACTAGTACCCTTGTTTGAGATCTCATTTGCCTTGCCACAGACGGTTTACCGCGTGGATTTGTCCGGAATGTCATCCCTTGTATTATGTAGATGCTAGTAAGCATCTCTTGAAGCTTTGAAAGATTTGACAGATGAACTTGGTTCTTCCTTTGATTTTGTACAAGATATGCTATGTGTTGTTTGATGAAGATCTTGAATATCAGTCATGCAAACCTTTATTTCTAATATCATTCACTGAGTATCCAAGCTCACCCTCTCTTTATATGTATGTAGGTGACGAGCAAGACGGCGGTGATGCCTAGATGTGTTTTGCATGATGTTTTGGATTCATACTTTGGCTTGCATCTTGAAGATTATGCTTCTTGGCTTTGTATTTCACCTCTTTTGTATATGTCGGCTTGAGAAGCTTCTTGATCAGGATGTAACATGTACTTTATTTTATTTGTATTCAAGTTGTAAAACCATGTTAAAGTGTATGTCATTTCATTTGATCTATGCACAGCTCTTATGGACTAATTAGATTTAAATTTATTGCTTCCGCACATGTAAGCCCCATATGTATACTCTGATTGTGTGTGAATCTTTGTAAGTTGGCCTTCGGTAATCTCGGATTACTGGCCATCACGGTACCATTCTACTAGGGGCGGAATGGGGTCGTGACACTCTGTCTCTCTCTTTCTCTTCTTTACTCTGCTTTCCCCTCTTCTGATATTGTTAGTTTAGGGTTTATTCAAATTTGAATGTATGTGCCTCTAATTTATTAAAAATTTCAAAGATGATGTTTAATATATGTGTGTGTGTGTATGTATATAATGCTTTGTGCACATATTGCAGGCGTCTCTTTCTCTTTCTCTCTCTCTCTCTCTCTCTCTCTCTCTCGCTGAGCTCTTTTACGCCCAGTCTCTCTGTCTCTGTCTCTGTCTCTATCCCCCTTGCTTTGTTTCCCCATTTTCTCACATTGTTGCTTTAGGGTTTATTCAAAATTTAATGTTTGTGGCTGTAATTTATGATAAATTTCAAAGATGATGTGTAATATATACAGGTGAATGTGTGTATATATAATGTTGTGTGGATATATGCAGATGTTTAATATATAATGTAAATGGCCCTAATTTAATGTGTGTATATATAATGCTCTGTCTACGTATGCAGGTGATTCAATCACTACAATTATTGTCACTCAACAGCAGCTGGATCATTCAACCTACACTACATAAGGTACTGAGTTTGTATCCTGAAATTTTTTATGAAGTGGGTATTATTGTGTTTTAATAATATTTATTAAAACATGAAGGGAAAAAAAAAACCCTTCAGGCAAAGGTTTTCTGTTTTTCTCATCAAATGGTTTGAAGAAAAGCCCATCATAAGAGTTACTTCTGTTTTAGCTCAATCATCATACGAGCTTTAAACTTCCACTATTGTATAAAATCATAGTGAGCTACAACAGGAAGCCCAGTATGTCCCACTATTGCATCAAGTCCATCTCTAATTGTGCTTGAACAGGGCAGGTGGTACAAGGGGATGAATTTAAAATCCTATTGTCACCCGTCACCCTACAAATTTCCCTTATGCCTCAACTTTAGAATATTATTATTCGATGAAATTCTAAATCAACACCTTGAAACTAATTGTGGTTCAACATTGTGTGAAATCAAACCATTTTTGTGCTTCACTAGGGAAACTAGTTTGATGAGATATGCTTAGAAACCTACTCTGGTCCTGGTCCTAGTTCATAGAGATGTCTCTTTTTACCTCTTGAATATAGAATCTCACTACTGAACACCAGTGATAAAAGAAACACTAGAAGCATAAATTATAAAATCGAAAACAACAAAAGGAACACCATCCATTTAAGCGTACATGTGCATTCCCAAAACTTAAGTTTTCCATTTGTAGATGGCTTTGTTGCGTGGACTTGTGGATAATCCATTTTGGTGTATGGAGAAGAAATTTCACTTTTGTATAGAATTAATATAATACTTTTGTCGTCCTCAGCTTTTGTGTAGTTCACTATTAAAAACTTTTGGCAATCAACAGATAATGACTGTCGTGGTACATAGATCACCTTCTGTCGTGGTACATATATGACCATTTGTTGGCGTACATATATGACCTTTTGTCATGGTCTATAGAGAAAAACTTTTGTCGTGGTACATAGATCACCTTCTGTCGTGGTACATATATGACCATTTGTCGGCATACATATATGACCTTTTGTCGGCGTACATATATGACCTTTTGTCATGGTCTATAGAAAAACTTTTGTCATGCTACATATATCACCTTTTGTCGTGGTACAGATTATGATGGTAATTTGTACCATGTCAAATGGTAATTTCGCTTGGTAGTAAATGTATTTTTTGTATATGGAGGGCTTTGATTTTTGTATGATTCTATATTTTGTATGAAATTATTATTTTAGTTTGGACAATTGTAACAACCTTCGTCACTGTTTACCGATTAACCACTGATTACTGCTAAACTGAGACTGATTATGATTGGTAACTGAATTGATTGAAGTACTGAACTGACTGACTAAAATCTGGAACTGAATTGATTAAGTATATCTGTTTAATTGTATGTCTATCTGTTGACTGTTTGATTATCTGTTCATGCCTTTGTGTTTAACTAAAATTGAAGGCCTTATCGGCAGCCGAACCAGAAATTGATTAGTGTTTCATGATCAGTATAATTTATGTGATTTAATGGTGTAATTATCTGAAAATCGATTCGGTATGATTAAATTAGGCTAAACGGTGTTAAATTGCATAGTTTGACTTAATTACATTAGTGCCACTTAGTGGCCACTACCTTATACATTTTGAGACTTGTATACATTGAACCAAAACATTTCCTCAACCTTATTTGAGAGCTCTAGCCGACCAAGAGAGAGTGAAAGTGAGAGTAGTGAATTTAACATAGAGATTTGGCTTGAATCTTGAGGAATTGAAAGCTTAAGTGCATAATTGAGCCTCTAGACTTGTAATTGAGGAACCTAGGTATGAATTTCCTTCTCTTAATTGTGTATTTAAGTTCCTTCTAGCATGGATCATGGTAGATTAAAGAGTTAAGTCATGAATTGGTTCAAAGGTGTTGAATTGAAGCTTAATTATTACATGCATGGTATACTCTTGCATTTTAGAGCTTTTTCTTCATAAATTTGCCACATGTATGTCCATGTTTTGATCATAAACCATGTTTTCACCTTGTCTTTTGAAAATATTGGCTCACTAGAGCATGAATTGAAGCTTTGAAATGGTTTAAATTCATGCATGTTATGTTTGAATTATGTTCATGAAAATTGGTTTCAAATTGAGTTGAATTGATCTTCCTTTTGGTCCTTGATTTTACAAATTGAGCTTTGAATCATGTTGTTCTAAGTATTTACAAATGTTTTCCAGGAAAGAGGGCCCAAAGGAATTGATTTTAATGCATTTGAACTTGGTTTGAGCCTAGAAATTCAAATTTGGAAATTCTAGATTTTGAACTCACGCTCGAGCGGGGTGACTGGCGCTCGAGCGTGAAATTCGTGCTCCCAGTACTTTGCACTGTTTTGATGTCCGCTCGAGCAGAATAATTGACGCTCGAGCGGGACATTGTGTCTCATGCTCGAGCGGGTGTCGAGCGCCCAATCGAGCGTGATTTTCACACATCCAGTACTTTTGCCCTGTTTTGCAGAACGCTCGAGCGTGAAAGTCTACGCTCGAGCGGATACTTTTGTCTGCATGTCCACTCGGGCGGGTAAACCTACGCTCGAGCGGGACCTCTGTTTTCTGAAAATTCTGAAAATACTTTTAAAGTGCATCTTTGCATCCTCATCCCATTCTAGGCATTCTTAGGCCTAGTTTAAGACATCTTAATGAGGATATAAATGTAGAACACACCGAGGCAAATTAGGGATTAAGTCATTATCTTTCCCAACTGTGTAGCTTAGTGTGTGTTCAATCTGTAACTGTGTAGGGTTGGTGATTGGGGATGCGCTCTAGCTTTACTGTAGCCCAGAACTCTGTGAGTAACAACTGTATAAAGATATGTTCAAAATGATTATCTTCTGAACAATTGAACTGTACTGCTTTCTGAACTGATACTGCTAATTGAATGAATGTATGTCCTATATTCTGAACTGTATTGTGGCATCTTTAGCAACTACTGTTTACTGTTACTATTATAGAGATCTCTGTCGGTTCCCTTGTTGGAACCACTACTATTTACTGATTGATGGCCATCATTTACTGTTCGGTCTTTTAAGACCTACTTTTACTGTACTGCTATGCTAATGGATGTACCACATATGACTGTTATGACTGAATGACTGATATACTGAATCAACTGACTGTTTTCAATACTGAAAGGACATTCATTCTTAACCTCTTTACGCATTATGTTATTCACTGGGCTTTAGCTCACTGTTTATATATATATATATATATATATGTAGGTGTTCAGGCACTAGACCGGAGCTAGGAGCGTGGGTTAGACTCCCTTTTTGTCAAGCCAACCACTGTGCCTCACTGCGAGGTTCCGAGCCTGCCAAGTTATGGCTTAGGGGTGTTTTAATTTCCCCGTCTGTCTCTGTATCTGTTTTGTATAACTGTATAGACTGTTTAATAGGGATTAGGTCCCTGAACTGAATGATTGTATATATGTACATACTGTTCTGTACTGTTCATGTATATGTGTATGAAAAGTCTTTTTGGCATACAGACTGTCACAGCTCATTGGACATTGTTTATTTACTGTTTTGGCTTTCGCCATGCCTCTGTACTCTGTTTTACTGTATTACTGTTAAGCAGGCCTTCGGTAATCTTGGATTACTGACCGGTTACGGTGCTAAACCCAAGGGGCGGGTTTGGGTCGTGACAACAATAGTTGGTTTGTATGGATTTTGACATTTAAAGTTATTTATTTTTTGTATATGGATACAGATTGTGGAATGATTGATAGTATATGTATCATTTTGTTTATGTACATATTACAAGTTGCATGGAATATAGATAGGTTGTGGAGAAATTATAATTTTGCAATAAAACATAATATCATGTTTTTGGCGACTAAACAATTAGTAGCTAAAAAGAAATTGGGAAAATAGCTTGGGCGGCTAAAATTTTGTAGCCAAAAAAAAAAGAAAAAAAAGACATTTGGTGACTAAAAGTTTCGTAGCAAAAAAAAAAAAAAAAAAAAACATTTGTTTCGTAGCAAAAAAAAAAAAAATACACATTTGGCGACTAAAAGTTTAGTAGCCAAAAGAAAATCAAACATTTAGCGACTAAAATATTTAAAAAAAAAAAAAAAAACATCTAGAGATTAAAAGTTTTGTAGCCTAAAGAAAAGCAAAGATTTGGCGACTAAAATATTTCATAGCTAAAAACAAAAGCTAAAGAATAAAAACACTTTTGCCGACTAAAAATTTAGTAGCAAAAAATGTGAGACTTTAGGCGACCAAAAATTTAGTAACCAAAATAAGAACTCTTTGCCGACTAAAATTTTAGTAGCAAAAAATGTGGGACTTTAGGCGACCAAATAGTTAGTAGCCAAAACAAGAACTCTTTGCAGACTAAAATTTTAGTAGCGAACAATGTGGGACTTTAGGCGACCAAATATTTAGTAGCCAAAACAAGAACTCTTTGCCGACTAAAATTTTAGTAGCTAAAAATGTGGGACTTTAGGCGACTAAAAGTTTGGTCGCCGAAAATGTACTAATTTAATTTTATGTCCAACCTTTTGGTGACTAAAATAATTTAATACATTTGGCGACTAAAATAATTTTAGTCACTAATTATCTTTACTGACAATTATTCCATGACTACTTCTGCGACCAAATAATTTAGTTGCTGAAACCCTTCGGTGACTAAAAATTAACTTTTGGTGACTAAAAATTTAATCACTAAAGGTGAAAATTCTTGTAGTGCCATGGATATGATTTCTTCGGACTGTATTCATACTTATTTTATACTTTTATGTTCATTTGTTGGATTTTTAGAGGGAAAAGAAGGGTAAATTTATGTTCATGTTGTCAATGGCACCTAAGATATGAACAAAAAATAGAAGGATACAGAATATCACCTTCAATTTCTATATGCTCGCCATGGTATTGGTTCCTTATGCACATCTTGTATTTTGCATATGTTTTTCGTTCAGAAGGAAAGGTTTTCAAATCATCTAACCCTAAAAAGAGGGACATGCATTTATCTTTTGCAGTTAAATCTCCTTTGCGATATAGCTGTAAATTCCTGGTTTTGTAGGAAGGCATAAAAAATAGTAAATTGTCAAATTTTCAATTTGCATTTAGTAATTGAGTGCAAACTCAAACATTGCATACCACTTTCGATTTCCAAAAGTGAAGACATCAGAGTAATGAATTTGACCGTCTAGAGACGAGAAATTATCAATCTTCCAGGTGTAAGTACAGTCAAGTTCCTTCAATATGTTTATAGACTGTCCTCTGCTAGTATAATTTATAACAAAAACTTTTGCTCCAAAAATGCATGTGTCACAAGTGAGGTATCCGTTATCAGTATCATTGAAAGTATTGAGTGGGAGTAATTGGGCAAAACCCCACTCTGTTTTCATCCCGTGAAAGCGTCTTACCTTCCCATTGGCATCTGGGTATTGAAATAAAGAAGAAAAATCAAGTGTGTAGAATAATTAATGTATGCAAAATATGCATGAGGATGAAAATTTAAAAACCTCAAACAATCATAAAGGAAATTGATTGGTTCTAATAAAACTACCTACCTTGGATGGTCATGTACTTGTCTTGAATTTTATCATACACAAACAATTTGAAGTTCACATTGACCTCCCAACCAATAGGTAAATTACTAGTTTCTGCGATTACCAAGTACAAAGAGATATGTCCTTCCCCTTTTCTTGTTTTATCACCATTTGGGTAAAAAGATAATTTCCTTCAAGTTGAACACAAAGGAACTATAAAAATTAGATTATGGGTATGTATCTCAATAGGAAAGGACAAAAAAAAAAAAAAACATAAGTAAATAGTATACAAACTCAACCATTTGTAAAAATGTCTGATTCATAATTTTGAACTTCAGCATCTGACAATAGTTGTGAGAGTTGTGAGAATGACTCGATCTTGAAAATGAAGTGAGCTGGTGGTATTTCTCTTAGAGATGTTGTTACTTCTGCGAAATGTTGAAGAGATAAAATGTGAAATTACTTTGAAAGATCTAGTTTGCTTTGTTTCCATACATTCAACTTAACTCGACTAAAAATTCCAGGTATTACGTATTTTATCAGATGTCCTTTAAAAATGGAAAATTCAAATTATAACATAATGTATTTTCACCAACTTATAAGTATTTTTGTGCATGTATTTATCTATAAGCATATATGTTATCAATAATTAAATAAACAAAATCACCAATGAGTTTGTAAAGGAGTAAAATTTCTAAATAATCTTGTACCAATTGAAAAAAATAAACAAAAAATAATGAAATTTGTAAAAGAGTTAATCACTGATGACACTACATAAACATGGATGGTCTAATTGCCATCACTTCAAAAACAAATGATGTGGAACACACAGAAACAGGAGATATTTATGGTCGAACCGTACATATGATCTTTAACGGTCAACCAATCTTTAGTTGACACTGTTAGGATTTTCAATCCTAATTGTGTGCATCGCAATGCAAGTTGGCAATCTCGTTCTAAAGACAAAATTGTGATTTTCTACTTATTCAGTTTTGGTCTTTGTTGCTTGAATCTTGTGCAGGAATGATTTATAAAGTTTTGTCCCGATATTGTGAAAGGGGGAGATTGTTAGGATTTTGATCCTAAAGAAATTAATGATTTATGTTTTGGCAATATCTCTTTTGACAAAACTCATTCTTACTAATTGATCTCAGTTGTTTTGATTTTATTGTTTTATTTTATCTTATCTTACTCCTAATTTTCTAAATGAGTTGTGTTTGATTTATTTTATTGTGTTTGATTTGTTTTTATAATTAGTTTAGTCAGATTGTATTAAAGGGTAAATCTTGTAAGTTTCAAAAATATGCAATATTTGGTGGCTCAAAAGAAGTTGGGTGGCAAAATTGTCAAAGAGAGTAGGCTACATTTTGATTCATTTTTTAAGTCTAAAGTGGACAAACTTTGTGGATGCTTTATCATGTGGGAGACAAGCCTAAAAATAGGGCTCCTTGATTTGTGGGAAAAGCTTGCTAAAAGAATGGAGAAATTCTGGGCAAAGTGAGCAAAGTCCTCAAAAGCTGCTATCAGTGTTTGTGTCATCGCACCCGCGAGGAAATGACCACGCCCGCGATTTGGCAAGTCCAAAAATTCAACTCTCAAAAGTTTTTTTTTTCTGTACCTCGCGAAGGGCAGTCGCGCCAATGAACCCCATGACCGTGGCTGCGACAGAGGTGTGCCTGCCCGCGAAGGTTTTTTTTGGTCCCGATCTATTTAAGGCATGCTCGGCTGATTTATTTTCTATCTCTTTCACCCACTTTCTGAGCACTCTCTCCTAAGCTCCTCTGAGTATTTTTATCTTTTGAGAGATCATTTTTATTTTATGAGTGAAATACATTTTTGTGAGAGTTTATTTTATAAGAGATTTATTATTTGAGAGTGATCTTGTAGTGAAGATTATTTGTAACTCTCATCTACTTGATGATACATTAGCCATAGGAGCTCAAAGCTAATCATCAAGCTTTTCTATAAGTTCTTCACATCTTACAAAAGTGAACCTTCTTGGTCGATTCCAAGATTGTAGACTTTGGTAGATTCCGACGTTATTGGCGTCGTGGTGATTCAATATCTGTGGCGGAGATCTAATAGGGGAAGAAGAGTGACTCGTAGGTTGAGCAAACATGTGAGCCCAGAGTGGCCTTTGTACAATATCTCTTATACTCTTTTCTTTTCATAGTGGATATTTTGTCTAGCCAAGGGCCCTTAGTTTTTTATCACAAGTTGGTGGATTCCAATTATGATTTTTCTACGGGAAAAAATATTTTGTGCTGTGGATGTCTGATTTTCTTTTACTCTCTCTATTTTACATTGATCATGGTTGCGTAAATTTTTAACTGGTACTCTTTTTGTTGTAACCAAGTGTTGACTTGGAAAGCTGTAAGCCCGTAGGGCATTTGCTTTTGTTGTTAACATGTAATACTTCTGTAATGGAATTCTTTTAAATGAAGGAATGTGGAGCTTTTGAATATCAATGCATGTCTTATTTGTTGGGTTTAATGTTATTTTTTTGAGGGCGTTACAAGCCCTACTGCTCTCCTCCCTTACCAAGGCAACCATCTTCTCTGGCAAAGTTTTTACCACAAAAACTAGTATAGATGAAACAACCCATAGCAAGACTCTTAAATAATCACAGATCTACCTCTAAAAAACAAACAAAAATTTGACCTATGAGTTGGTAAATTGTGAAACCCAGCTCAATATTTCAAAGAAAAACAAAGCTGCTTCACTATTTGATGCAGCCATTTTAAAGCTATGATGTTAGAGCATCTCCAATCCTTACTCTTTTTGTTTCATCAAATTTGAGTGAAAATTTGGCTAAAAGCTTGATCTGATATGCAACACTCCAATCCAAAACTTACCCTAAGAAGCTGTTTCAACCATTTTTTATGAAAGAAAATCATCTCAATCCTTTAGCCCTTCATCAATTTTTTTTTTTCATTTAATTTGATTATAAATTTCAGTAAAAAGCTTGATTTGATATGAACTTCTCTAACACTTTCATCAAATATCATGACCGAGATTCGACCCTTCGATCAAATCGAGGGAGAATTAATATTTCATCATATTGAAAACTCATCACATCCTTTGTCAATTTTGAATTTGGTGAAAATTAAAAAAATAAAATAAAATTTAAAGCATTGAAGATGGATTTTTTTTCATCAAAAATCAAATTTTATGAAAAGGAAAATTTGGGATATAAGGATTTATTTATTTATAATTTTGATGAGAACAATGGAGTAACTCATATCAAATCAAACTTTTTTTTACTTAAAATTTGATGAAGAGTTGGTGATGCTCTTACCCACCTAATAGCTGAAGATTTCCATTTTCCAACATCACTGATGGCTCAAAATTTCCAACAAAACCCATTGAACCCAAAACATAAAACCCTAATCGTTTGAGGAAGGCACAACAATGTTCAGAGCTATGAAGCATAAGTAATTCGAAAAACATGCCGTACCCGTACTGGGTATTTACCGGCATATGGTATTTCGTATGGTACTTCTGCATACGTACTAGGTGTATGAAACACGTACTCAAATTTTTTCTTGTTAATTTTTGGTGTACCTAGACATACGTAATATATACTCAAGTCGTACTGTACCTTAATTAAAACAATATTTTCTTCTACTACAGAGATAAAACTGAAAAATTTAGAAATCCCCTAGATATTGATTTGTGATTATGTATCAATTTTAAGCAGTATATAACAATCCCAATTAAACAATCAAGACAAATCAACACAACGATTTTAACGTGAAAAAACCACAATTGGAGCACCTCCAATTGTGATAAAAAACCACGGGCAACAGCAACAAAACAATCCACTAAGAAGATATAAAGGAATTACACAAGTATACTCTCAATTACCTAGTGAATCCACGCCCGAATTGAACTAACCCCTATGTGCCTCTTCCAACCCTATCTTCACCTTGGAATTGTCTTGACGATGAGCCACTCTAGAATCCACCAAAGCTTCAGGCTCAAATTCCCCAGAATCTACTGAAGAACAACTCTCTCTTTTGTGTAGAATAAACAAACAAACCTTTGATGTATGCTTCTTAAACCATGAGTTGAATACTCAATGAAACATTAAAGAAAACTAGCAAACTATCCCCAAATATAAACCTTAATATCCAAAAAGAAGATCTGGAGCAGTAATCCTAAAATCTGACTGAATCACGTACTTATAGAAATTTGAATCGCGATGCTCGCTCGAGCGAGGAACCAAAAACTCGTGTTTTCCATAAATGGCTTCGCTCGAGCCAAACAACTTGCGCTCGAGCATAAAATCATCTCTTTTAGGTTTTTATACGGACGCAGCCTTCGCTCGAGCGAGAACTCCTTCGCTCGAGCGAGCAAGGGCAGACAGGCAACTTCGAAAGCAATTTTGCATTTTGCTTCAGGGGCGCTGCCCCTCGACCCCACCTGGGCACTGCCCCTGTAATAACCCTCACGCTATCCTCACCATACTTATATGCATTCATGAGATTCTGTCTTGTAAACTTGCATTTCGAGTCTTGCCCTTGCTCGTTTAAGTGTTACAACACGTTTTGAACCTTGCTTGGTGTGAGTTTAGCCGAGGTCGTCTTTAGTCTAGAACTTCCTTGGAAACCACTTTGTTAATACAACTGAAAGGAGTTTTGTCAAACGGGATTGTCAAGAATAAAAACCTAACAAAAACTCTTTTCACTAGACTTTTTTTTTATTTTTTTGTTTTATAACATGATTTTAAAATTAAATTATGATTTGTAAGTTATTTAATATATTGACATTTAATTTTAATTTATATCTTTACTTTTAATATTAAATGTTAATTGTAAGTTGGACCTTAACAAATTAAACTATTTAATTAATTTTTGTATTACTCTAAATTAAAAATAAATATTTTTTTCAAAGCATATCAACGTACTAATACCATACTCGTACCCGTATTGCGCTTCATAGGTTCAGAGGAAAAGAATGCAGGGGAGGAGACGATGACAACAAAATGGGGGGCTTTTGTCCATTTTCTTGGCTCAACCACTGATTGGTGGCCCGTAAAAGATGGTTTTTACGGATCATCCGTATAGAACTTAATCTCCAGACACAGATACAACACTATATCTATGTATATGGAGAGAGAGAGAGAGAGAGAGAGAGAGAGAGGTACCAGAGTTGGCATTGTGAAGAGGAGGGATAGGATGGTATGATTTCCCTTCTTCCATGTTGTCTGCAGCGTCTCCACAGGATTTGGGAGAACACTTCCTTGCTAAAGTCTACTGCATAGTCTCCGCACCGAAGCCAAGCTTTTATAAAACCATTTGCCGAATGGGGGAAAAAAAAGCAAACTAAAAGGCAAACCCATTCATATGAAGGGAAAAAAAAAAAAAAAAAAAAAAAGAAAAAAAGTTTGCACCACGTAGAAAGTGGGGTTAAACTTTTATTTGTTAGCGATACTGCTTAATCGATATTCTCGTTATACTGAATTTTTATTTTATTTTTAGGTAGTAGTAGTACCAAACACGGCAGAGCTGCAAGCTTAATTCCTAAGTAATAGTTTGCTGTTGTTATAGTTTGATGTTGTAATAGTTTGCTTTGTAGTTATGGCTAGTGTTAGCTTTTGTTGGGCCAACAGTTTGCCCATTTCTTATGTTTGTTTGTCTTTTAGCATTGTATAGCTTGTAGGTGGAGTGTAAATTTGGCCCGGCCCACCGGGGCTCAGGTTGGACCCGGCTCATGTCGGGTTTCGCGGGCTTTTGTCAAAAATTTGGTCCATCCGAGCCGGTTTAGGAGCCAAAAAATTGGGCCCAGGCCTAGAGGTTTTTTAAAAAATTTTCTACTAAAATTTTATTATTTTTCACTAAAAAAGACATTATGCCTTGGGCCAGGCCTTGAGTGGGCCTTAAGCGGGCCGATGGGCTGGCTGGACTCAGGCCCGAGCCCAAACGGGCCTAAATGAGTCGGGCCCATCTCGGGCGGCAGGCGGGTTTCGGGCCGCCCATGAGCCACGGGCTATTTTTACACTCCTACTTGTAGGTCATGTGGCATGCTCTTGTACTTTTGTATTTTTTTTCTGTTTTATTTAATGTCTTATTCACCTAAAAAAAAAAATTCCTAAGTAATATTTTAATTTTATAATAGTAAAATAAATTATAAACACATCTTTTAAAATTTATTTAAAATATATAGTCTATTATAGTTTTAGAAATTATAAATATTTTATTGTCAATTTTTTATTTAATAATTTGAATGATGTCAGAAATATATTTCAATTAACCAAACCAAACCAAACCAAACCAAACTAAACCAAACTTTAAGTCCCATCAAATGAGGTTGGCTACATGAATCTTTCTTCTCCACGAGACCCTATCAAAGGCCATTTCGTTAATCAAATTAAGTAGATCCATATCTCTATTTACAGCGTTAACCAACGTTAATCTAGGCCTACCCCGTCCCCTAACACTTCCATCTACCGTTACAGTATCGCATCTCTTCGCTACTGCCTCTGTTGGTCTCTGTTGAATATGACCAAGCCATCTCAATCGATTCTTTCTCAACTTATCTTCTATCGGTGCTACTCCTATCCATCCCCGAATACACTCATTCCTAATTCTGTCTTGTCTAATCTTGCCATACATCCACCTTAGTATTCTCATCTCAGCCACACTCATCTTATCTACATGTTGTTTCTTGGTTGCCCAACACTCCGTCCCATACAACATCACTGGTCTAATAGCTGTTCTATAGAACTTCCCTTTAAGTCTAGTGGGTATTCGTTTATCGCACAGTACCCCAGACACACTTTTTCACTTACACCATTCCACCTTAATCTTATGGGCCACATTCGCATCGATCCCCTCCGCTGTTGTGATAATCGACCCTAAATAATAAAAATGTTCACTCTTAGGCAGTTCTTGGTTCTCAATCTTTACTTCTCCTCTGCTTTCATTGTTACTATTACTAATACTAAATTTACACTCCATGTATTCTGTATTAGTTCTGCTTATCTAGAATCCTTTAGATTCAAGAGCTTTTCTCAAATCTCCAACTTTGTATTAACTCCTCTAGTCTCATCCACTAGCACTATATCGTTTGCAAAAAGCATACACCATGGCACGTCATTCTGGATATTTCTCATTAACTCATCCATAACTAAAGCAAAAAGATAAGGACTTAAGGTATTTCAATTAACAATTTTGATAATTTTACTATTGTATAAGAGAGTTCTTTTTTTTTTTTATTGTAAATTCTATTAAATAAAAAATTGGACTCTATTTCAGATCTAAAATTAGATCTAAATTTTTTTGCCTAGTTTGTAAATTTTGTCTGCTTACTAATAAGATGGGTGTTGTATCAGAATGTAAATTTTGTTTGGTTTGTATAGCACTACTCATTTTGGATGATTTTTTTTTTTTTTTTTCATAATCATTATTATATAAAATTTTGGTAATAAAAAAGTAGTACAAACCAAACTAGTTTCCTCTATACATGTCATTCCTGGCAAAAAATAGCCTTTGAACCTTAAATTACCTACATGGGTGTGGGGTCAAAAGGCCCCTGCCTAAATGGATTCTCAATTATGAAAAAAAAAGGAAAATGAAAAAAGAAATAGCAACAAGATGAACATCCAGTGCCAAATTGCTTTCCTTCTCAGTCCACATTTGATTTTCCTTCAGTAATCTGTATCAATCATTTTAACACCTGAGCAAATAACTCTGCTTATGTAGCGATCCTTGAGATACAAAGCATTGTGAATTTTGTCTGGTTTGTATAGCACTACTCATTTTGGATGATTTTTTTTTTTCATAATCATTATTATATAAAATTTTGGTAATAAAAAAGCAGTACAAACCAAACTAGTTTCCTCTATACATGTCATTCCTGGCAAAAAATAGCCTTTGAACCTTAAATTACCTACATGGGTGTGGGGTCAAAAGGCCCCTGCCTAAATGGATTCTCAATTATGAAAAAAAAAGGAAAATGAAAAAAGAAATAGCAACAAGATGAACATCCAGTGCCAAATTGCTTTCCTTCTCAGTCCACATTTGATTTTCCTTCAGTAATCTGTATCAATCATTTTAACACCTGAGCAAATAACTCTGCTTATGTAGCGATCCTTGAGATACAAAGCATGTAAATTAGCTATTTTTGTTTCAAATTCAATATTAATTTTGGTGACACTATCCACATTTGCAAATGCTAATTATATATTTAATTGGATCTTTAGACTATCTCCATGAATTTAATTCAATCTAACATACTGCGAGGCAAGAATCACAAACAGTAAAAAAAAATGGGCGCATGATAAAAAGTTCTCACATTGCATAAAAGCTTCTAACTCATAAGTTTGTCCATGCACAAGATGATATTAACGGATTAAAATGACAAGGATACTACTAAGCCGTTCTTGTATTACTGGGATAAAAGCCTCGCGCATATTTACTTGGAGAAATTATTCACTGTGGATAAGACACTAACTTCAGCATCAATAATCAAAGTATCCTTCACAAGGAATCCCTTAGAAGCATCATGGAGCTTAGTAAACGACAAGAACGAATGGTTACCCCAGCCAATGGATGTTGAAGCAGAGAAACATTTGGTGCCTGAAAGACAATTTTTTTTTAAGATTACAAAAAAGACCTATTTAAATGAAAAGCGGAGTCTCATAGATATGACTTCTTCGGAGTTTGGTCAAACGTAAATTCCACTTAAAATTTTGTGTTTGTTTCTTGTATTTGTGAAGGGAAAAGAAGAATAGAGGCATACTAATGTTGCCAGAGGCACCTAATTAAGATTTTCCGATGAACAAAAAGTAGTAGAACTGTAATGTCACCTGTAACTTCCACATGCTGGCCATAGATTTGGTTCCTTATGCGCAACTTGTATTTTGCATATGTTTTCCATTCAGAAGGAAAGCTTTTTGAATCATTTAACTCTAAATAGAGGGACAAACATTTGCCCTTTCATGTTGCCAGTCCTTTCGGATAGAGCCGTACCTTCCTGATTAATTTCGTTAGAGGAAGTTATAAAAAGCTGTTACTTTGATACATATATTGTAATTTGAAAGAAATGAAAATTAAAACATAGCATATACCACTTCTGATTTCCAATAGTGAAGACATCAAAATAATGAATTTTGGAAACTAGAGACGAGAACTTATCAATCTTCCAAGTGTAAGTAATCAAGTTGATATCAACGGATTAAAATGACAAGGATACTACTAAAATGTTCTTATATTACTGGGATAAAAGCCTTGCGCATATTTACTTGGAGAAATTATTCACTGTGGATAAGACACTAACTTCAGCTTCAATAATCAAAGTATCCTTCACAAGGAATCCCTTAGAAGCATCATGGAGCTTAGTAAACGACAAGAACGAATGGTTACCCCAGCCAATGGATGCTGAAGCAGAGAAACATTTGGTGCCTGAAAGACATTTTTTTTTTAAGATTACAAAAAAGACCTATTTAAATGAAAAGCGGAGTCTCATAGATATGACTTCTTCGGAGTTTGGTCAAACGTAAATTCCACTTAAAATTTTGTGTTTGTTTCTTGTATTTGTGAAGGGAAAAGAAGAATAGAGGCATATTAATGTTGCCAGAGGCACCTAATTAAGATTTTCCGATGAACAAAAAATAGTAGAACTGTAATGTCACCTGTAACTTCCACATGCTGGCCATAGATTTGGTTCCTTATGCGCAACTTGTATTTTGCATATGTTTTCCATTCAGAAGGAAAGCTTTTTGAATCATTTAACTCTAAATAGAGGGACAAACATTTGCCCTTTCATGTTGCCAGTCCTTTCGGATAGAGCCGTACCTTCCTGATTAATTTCGTTAGAGGAAGTCATAAAAAGCTGTTATTTTGATACATACATTGTAATTTGAAAGAAAAGAAAATTAAAACATAGTATATACCACTTCTGATTTCCAATAGTGAAGACATCAGAATAATGAATTTTGGAAACTAGAGATGAGAACTTATCAAAGTGTAAGTAATGTCGAGTCCTTTTTTCAATAAAGTTAGACACTCTCCTCTGCCAGTGCAATTCATAACAACAACTTCTGCTCCAAACAAGCACGTGTCTCTGATGAGGTATCCATTAGCACCATCGTTGAAAGTACCAAGTGGGAGTAATTGGGGAAAACCGAATTCAGTTTTCATCAAATGAAAGCATTTTACCTTCCCATTAAGGTCATCTAAGCATTATTCACCCAAAAAAAACATCATCTAAGCATTGGAATAGAATCACAAAATTTTTAAGGAACCTTATATAAATTGAAATGAGATTGAATAGTTGCTCAACAAACTACTTACCTTGGAAGGTCAAGTACTTGTCTTGAATATGATTATACACAAACCAACAGGTAAATTACTTGTCTCTGCAATTAGCAGGTAAATTACTCCGTTCGTGGCTGTTTTGGATTAATTATTTTGGGTCTTCTTCAACTCTGATTCTGAAGATTTTGATTCATCTATTTGGTGAGGTCTTTCCTCTTTGTTTATTTGTGATTATTTGGAATTCACCTAAGGGTGTTTTGTGAGACCATTAGTGTCTCGTTTGTAATCGTTTGGAACTTTTTTGGTTGATAGTGGAATCGGATTTCGATCCCGTGGACGTACCTCACATTGAGGGAACCACGTAAAATTCTTGTGTTGCTTTTGATTTAATTTTTCCGCATTAGTTTTTATTCCCATTGATTGATTTACTTGTGGGGAATCATCGTTTTTCCCTAACAGGGTAGAGTGACAATTTCCTTAAATTTCAACAAAAAAAAGACCAAAACAAGAATCAATTTATTTGTATCTTGAGATACAAAACAAATGCTTACAAATAAAGGATATAAAACTCAAACCATTTGTAGCCACTGGCTTCAAAAATGTCTGATTCATAATTCTTCATTCCAACATCTAAGAGTAATTGCGAGAGTAGTGAGAATGACTCAATTTTGAGAAGGTAGTGAGCTGGTGGTATATCTCTTAGTGATCTTGTTACTTCTGTAGAATGAAGAGATAAAAATGTGAAATTACTATGAAAGATCTAATTTGCTTTGCATATACAGATTCAATTCAACTCATCTTGACGGTCCAATGCTCTATTTATTATATAGCTGTCTTTATGGAATTTTTTTTGCAACCATTAATGAACAGTCTTCCCTAGAACAAACAGTAAGCTAGGAGAAATCTACCCACCAAGGATCAAACCATATTAGGGTTCGGTTTAGTTGATTTAAGGGAACATCTAGGACCAAATCGTTAATTATGATTTCATAAATTTTAGAACATAATCAAATCTTGAGATGCCAGTTAGTTATGTTTGAAACCACGGTTTCTAATACATCATTCATAATTTGTTCACAAAATATTGTTCAATACATCAAACATCAAGCAAAATAATTTTTTTTTCAAACATTAAACAATATGTCATCATTGATAACCTTCATCATTTTTCAAACAAGAAGCAACGATATTAGGTAATAATATAAATAAGGGTTCTTAAAGTGTATGATATTAATAAGTTATTTATGTCTATATATCAAAATGGTACAGTTTTGAAAAATCTAGAAATCCGCTAGATATTGATTTGTGATTATGTATCAATTTAAAGCAATAAAACAATCCCAATCAAGCAGTCAAGACAAATCGACACAACGATTTTAACGTGGAAAAACCACAATAGGAGCACCTCTAATTGTGATAAAAAAAACCACGGGCAACAGCCACAAAACAATCCACTAAGGAGATTTAAAGGAATTACACAAGTATAGTCTCAATTACCTAGCGAATCCACGCCCGAATTGAACCAACCCCTATGTGCCTCTTCCAACCCCGTCTTCACCTCGGAATTTTCTTGGCGATGAGCCACTCCAGAATCCACCAAAGCTTCAGGCTCAAATTCTTCAGAATCCACCGAAGAACAACTCTCTCTCTTTTTAGAATAAACAAACAATCATTTGATGTATACTTTTTAAACCATGAGTTGAACAGTCAATTAAACATCAAAGAAAACTAGCAAAATATCCCTAGATATAAACCTTAATATCCAAAAAGAAGATATGGAGAAGTAATCCTAGCTTTGGACTGAAACAAATACATATAGAAATCTGGGACTGCGAAGCTTGCTCGAGCGAAGACTCTCTCGCTCGAGCGAGGAACCAAAAACGCGTGTTTTCTATAAGTGGCTTTGCTCGAGCCACGCACCCTTCATTCGAGCGTACATTCATCTATTTCAGGTTTTTACATAGACGCAACCTTCGCTTAAGTGAGCAAGGGTTGACAGGAAACTTTGAATGCAATTTTGCATTTTGCTTCAGGGGCGCTGCCCCGAACCCGCCAAGGGGCGCTGCCCTCTGGACCCCTGCGAGCTGATCGGACAGCTCGATCCCCGTCATAATCAGCGAAGTGGCAATCTTGAAAGTATTAACATCACAAACTTCTCTGCAAGGCACGATTCAAGTTGGATTCGCATCTAAAAACTCATAGCCTCACTTAAATACAAGTGCGAATAAAATTACAACTCAAAGGAGTTTTGTCAAACGGGATTGCCAAGAATAAAAACCTAACAAGTTTGATTCTAAACAAACTATGACTAGAAATTTGTGAATCAAATCGTGAATTGCGATTTACCAATTTCGCAAACTACAATCAAAATGAATATTAAATAAACCAAAGAAAGTCTGGACTGAATTGATTGAAGATTTTTTTTTTTTTTTTATAAATGTTTTTGTGCAACTAACTTTTAACTTAAATGTAGATGATTTAGAACACCAGACACACCATATCTTGTCAAAACTCCTAGACTCCTAGGTGGTCACACAAAATCATATATAGTGCACATATATACATATATAGAGAGAGAACTAAACTTGCTAGAGAGAGACTACCAAAGTTGCCATTGTGATGAGGAATGGGATGGCATGTTCTCTCTTCCATGTTTGATGTAACACCTTGTATTTTGAGGTATTAATATTTAGTGAGTGGTATTGATGGTTTATTATAATAATTTAGTGGTGAGATTTTTAGATAAGAATTTAATTTTAAATTATTTATTTGTATTTATCTCATCTCTTTTATATCTATCATATTGTTATTTATTCTCATTTAATAATAAATCTTACCATTCCCCATCACATGAAAAAAAAAAAAAAAAAACTACAACAACAACAAACCGTGGGTAACACCCACGGTATCCCCAAACCCACCATTCCATCATTTCATCTTTTCATTTATTTTAATTTTTTAATCTTCTCTCTCCCCATTATTTCCTCTATAAACGAACAGAGTGAGGGGCTCCTCACATTCCCTTCTTCTTCTTCATTCATTCTCTGCATCTGTTCTCCTCTTCTCATAAATTGTGTAGAGTAGAAATACTAAGTTTAGATATGAGAGTGTTTAAAGTGAAAATGAGTATTTTATAAAATAAATAAATAAATTGAGAGTTGTAGATTTTATTAAATTATACATACTTTATGTCTTAGAAGCTTGATCAAAACTATTTTTGGAGATCTATGGAGCAATTTCAGATTTATGGTGACAGAGTTAATTATTTTGAGGTAAATTCGGGTAGTATACAATATGCTCTATTTAAATCTCTTTGCAAAGAGTTCTCTATTTTTAATTATTCTCAATTTGTAATCCACTTGATTATTGTGATTATTAATAGATTGTGTAAAATCATCTCATAGTCGAATCGTTGATATTCTGATCATTTGGTAAAATTTCCTACAAATATTTCTGTGTTAAAATGGTGATTTGTCTGACTGAAGGACATGAAAATACTTCGTACATGGATCAAGTGAATCTTATTAATTGTTTACACCAATATGCCCGGATAAGCGTGGAGCTTGGGTGAGGTGGGTGAATAAATGAATTTATTCACTGGTCATGTATTGAGTAGGACTGGGTATTTGGTCCAAATAAATTATGGTTGATTTGTTGTGCAATTTGATAAATTGCTTGATTATCGTATCGTTGATTTAATGTCATAAATTGCTGGATTCTTATTAATTTATTCTTTATTCGAGCCTTGTATTTCTGTCGTATTGTATACTTCCTGAATTAATTTATTTTTCAGGTGCAGAGCAAATTTTAGCGGAGCTCAAAATTGAGATTAGAAAGATTTATTAATAAAGAGATTTGGGACCCACCACTATAATTATTAAATTTGGAGATAGTTGTAATATTGTTTATTTTGGACGTAATTGTGCTATAGAATATTTGAAGGATATTGTACCATTTGGAGACGATTTTATAGTTATTATTTTTGGGAGCAAAACTTGTATTTTTTTTAAGACTACTTTAATGTATTTAACGATCCGGGAGTGGGGCGTTACATTTGATGCCTTCTCCACAGACTTTTTTGGATGAGCAACTTCTATTGTATATATCTAAAGCAGGGGACTCTTTTTCTGTGCCCTTATTTTAAGGGGGGGATTAACATTCAACATAGAAGATCAAAGATAATTACAAATTTTTGTAATTATTTTTTGCTTCTCACACTGTTAACTAAAATTCTCCCTTATTTTAAACCCGTGGACACAATTTTTTTTTTAGAAAAGATTAAAAAAAATAGAAGGATAAATTACATTCATTGTTGGAAAAGTGATTTGTTATTTTCAATTAAATATCATCTAAAATTAGATGAAGATACAATGAGTAAATTTGCTTTGAAAAATTATTAAATAGTATGGAACACGTTGTCTAAGTGGGGTCGTCTCTATCTAAAAAATGGAAAAAGTAGTGTTGTCAACCAATAAAAAATTGCAATCTACACTTTAATCGTTGTCTCTTTTCTTCTAATTACTTAATGAAAGTGAGTCACTGTATTCTTTTGTAAGATTTTCAACGATGCCATTAGTTTAGATTAAGAAATATTACTATTAAAATATAATTTTACCAAATTATTACATATTTATTATTAATATTTATAAAATTTACTACTTATTTATAATAGAAAAATGCTTGAGACGTCATTTTTGGTGACCCCCCATAACTCTCAATTAATTTGTGACCACTCATTCTGTTTTTGGTTTTTTTTTTCCCCCTCTCTCACAAATGTTGTGGGGGTCCTGGGGGTCTATAGCATTTTTGATGTTGATAATGCAGTTTGGTC